CCCCCCCCCCCCCCGAAAAATCCGAAGTGCCCCCCCCCCCCCGGGAACATTTCTGAAAGAAACACTGCCGACAAGCTAACCACTGGTCTTGTACTTGTAACTTCTTGTTGACCACATTCAGCTCCTGTGTAATGTCAACAAGAAAAGCCAAGTCCATGAGCCAAAATTTTTTAATCGTCCTGCTGCTTTTTGGCTCTTTTGACTACTGAGTTTGCCGACCACTGGCCTAGATCAATGCTCGCCACTAATGCTCACTGTAACTCAGAGCCATCGTGTGGGCCTTGCAGCCCCTGCTGTTCCACCTGGGGTTATCCGATATTTTAGGGGCTTAAATTTGTGCCGTTGAACTTTTGAAATGATCAAATTTGAATGTAAGGTGGTGGGGAGGTCAAAACTGAAAAGTGGGGCAGGGGGCCTCGGAAAGTCACGTGACGGCTCTGCTTGACCTAGTTATGCAATAAAAAATTATTTTATTAGATTAGCACTGGGTGCTGGTTGCTCGATTGGTCTAAACTGAATCAATCTCAAGTTCGTGGTCTGTAGTTCAGTCCCAACCAAAACCCCGCCAAGCAAAAACATCACCAGCGCCCCGGGTGGATGGGACTCGTTACCCTTGGGTGGCGACTCCTAAAAGAGAAAGGTACTCTGAATTCAAAACCCGGAGATGGAGCATTGACGTAATGAAACATTCCGACAACTATGGTCGACAGCATTGTTATCCAGCGGCGTGGAGACAGGCGCTTTGCTGATTAGGTAACCAGCTTTTAATAGAAGTCACATTGTGACGGACGGATGTCAGCAAATATAACACTGTGGTTTTAACCTTTATTTAAACTATTTTTGGGGTAAACTACTAACCAAATGATTTTTTTTTAAATTAAAAAAAAAAAGCACTGCCAACATTATTTGGTAAAAACGGAACTGCCCGAGAGATACCTGAGAGAAACACTAGCAGGGTGTAAAGGTGTGTCGCGCAACAATTGGCCTTACACATTGCTATTATTTGTAGGCATCAGAGGAGCCGAAAAGAATGGCATATTAGTGCATAGTTTTAATCATGTGGTCCATTATTTTGTTATCTGGTACATCCCCATTTTCATGAAAATGGGGCTGTTACTGTTAGTTGAGCCAAAAACAATTGAAAACTTGCTTTTGGCTTGATTTTTATTTGTGTGTGTGTGTGTCCCCTTTTCGATAGATTTCGCATATGTGAAAAAATTCAAACTTAGCACACATAGCATCAGCTTCCCATGATCTGATCGATGCAAACATCGCCAGGGTTTGCTCAAGACAATAACTTTTTTTTTGTTAAAGCGTGGGCGACACTGAATGTTTGCCCCCAGACGTTTTCTTGATTCATGTTACGTGACGTGTGGACGGACAATGTCAGGCTAACGGACCAGTGCCGGTACCGCGGACCCACTACCCTGTAAGACACTGGTCTATATAAGTATAAGGCCAAACAATTTATTCCGCATTGATGATGTCTTAAGAAAATAAAACAACACATTTGTGTTTATTTTAGTTTGCTTTTGTCAGGGGCGATCTTTGTTCAGCTGGTATCACTAAGGCTGGGAGTGATACACGCGTGAGGTCTGCAACCCCCCCCCCCCCCCCCCCCCCCCCCCCTATCACTAAGGCTGGGGGGTATACACGCGTGAGGTCTGCAACCCCCCCCCCCCCGCCCCAACCACCGTAAATATATATCTTGGGACACCACTCAGGACGGAACTTTTTCCTTCATCATGCTAATGTATTTCAAACACATTTTACAACTCAACATTTTGCGTGAAAAGTGTTTTGTTTTTTTATTTCAGAAAAATCAAGACTGATTTTTAAAATATATATTTATGTTAACGTACTCTTAGAGAGAAATCAAGGGCAGTCGAGAAAATGCGTTAATAATAAATGCGAGTGGAATTTTAGCTTTTTTTTCTTCCTGTTAATATTATTTAGTTTACATTGCTTTAGTGTTAACTGGCATATTATTAATATTCCTGGCTACCGAATGTTGCGTTGCTAAGAAAGCAGTCATCTGGGATAATAAAATAATTTGCGTTGATCTTCGGAGAATAATTGAAGAACATTTGAGTTGTTCCCCTTTCTGGGAGAGGAAACAAAAAGTGATACATATAATAACCATATAATATGATTTATATATACATATATATATATGTTTGTTTAAATTACACTATAATAATATTTAATATAAGTATAAGCCCTATTGCCCTATACTATATATTTTACCAACCACATGAAGGGAAATTTAACTAACTTAGCTGCATCTAAACGGCATGTTATGGCAGTTTAGAATAAGTTTATGAATACTCATAAAACAAGAATTATCGTTAAAATTATGTTTCAAATTTTAAAAAATAAAGTTGAATAGCTTTTTTTTTTAAAAAAAAAGCTATTCAACTTTATTTTTTAAAATTTGAAACATAATTTTAAAAAATAAAGTTGAAAGTGAACATTTACATACTACGCTAACTAGGACATGATTTGGTGTGCGGGGGGGGGGGGGGGGGGGGGGGCTTAGTTTTTCATGTTGGAAATCCGCATTCAAGAAACGCCAACACACATACATAAATATATTCGTAAGTTATATGATTTAACCTAATATAATGAAACTATTTGTTAATTTTTTAAAGTCAACCAATCATGTAAGTGGCACTAAAATGTTATAAAAACATAATCTAGGCCCAGCATTCTTTATGCAGGGGCGTCATTTCAGGGTGTTTTTTTCGGGGGGGGGGAGCTTGTGAAGTTTTTTATTACTGGAGGCACCACAGTACATAACAATTTAAATAAAACCTGAAGATTTATCCTCGAAAGGCAGCTGTGGCGGGCGTGGCAGACGTGGCGGACGTGGCAGACGTGGCGGGTCGCTTGGGCACCCCGTAGATCATACGCTCCCACCCCCTGGATAAGGAGACTCGTGTTTATAATATACAAAGTAAATGACCACCTGTAAACTCTAGTGATGATGATGGCGCGCCTACATACCTGACGTTTGGAGCAACACAATGGCAGGGTCGGTGTCTGTAGTAACGATCTGCATCTTTCCCAACGTTGCTCTTCGGTTTTCGTAGATGACGATTCCGGATTTCCCGGTCGACGTTATAATTTTCCCGTTTGCTATCACCTTTGCCTCGTCTGCGGGTGGATAGAGCAAAAACACACCAGACAAACATGACGATTAGAAAAAAAAATGTACACACTTGAACAGGGGAGAACCAGGGGCGTGCGCAGGAAGGGTTGCGGGGGAAGGTCCGCCCCTGATGGGACCTTTGTGTCTAATTAAGGGTGGGTGGCATTTTCGGGTTGGCAAACTGATGTCGCTGCGAGCCAGATTCTAAAGGTAACAGTGACATGGGAGCAAGATTCTAAAGGTAACAGAGACATGAGAGCCAGATTCTAAAGGTAACACATACATGAGAGCCAGATTCTAAAGGTAACAGTGACATGGGAGCAAGATTCTAAAGGTAACAAAGACATGAGAGCTAGATTCTAAACGGTAACAGAGACATGCGAGACAGATTCTAAAGGTAACATAGACACGCGAACCAGATTCTAAAGGTAACAGAGATATGGGAACCAGATTCTTAAGGTAACAGTGACATGGGAGCGAGATTTTAGGTAACAGAGACATGAGAGCCAGATTTTAAAGGTAACAGAGACATGCGAGACGGATTCTAAAGGTAACAGAGACACGCGAGACTGATTCTAAAAGGTAACAGAGACACGGGGTCAAACTTTAAAGGTAACAGAGATATGGGAACCAGATTCTAAAGGTAACAGAGACATGGGAGCAAGATTCTAAAGGTAACAGAGACATGAGAGCCAGATTCTAAAGGTAACATAGACACGCGAACGAGATTCTAAAGGTAACAGAGACTTTGGAGCCAGATTCTAAAGTTAACAGAGACATTAGAGCCATAAAAGTAACAGAGACATGGGAGTCAGATTCTAAAGATAACAGAGAAATGGGGGCCAGATTCTAAAGGTAACAGAGACACGCGAGCCAGATTCTAAAGGTAACAGTGACATGGGAGCAAGATTCTAAAGGTAACAGAGGCATGTGAGCCAGATTCTAAAGGTAACAGAGGCATTGGAGCCATATTTTAAAGGTAACAGAGACACGCAAGCCAGATTCTAAAGGTAACAGAGATATGGGAGCCATATTCTAAAGGTAACAGAGCCATGAGAGCCAGATTCAAAATGTAAGACGGGCCGTAATACTTTATAAAAAAATTGTGTGGGCCAAAAGAAAATAGGACAGGACTTTTTCGGGCCAAAAGAAAATAGGACAGGGGGTCTATTAAGAAAATAAAAGAAAAAAAGAATATTTCTCTACCTCGCGGGCCACAAAATGGTTGCTGGCGGGCCGTATGCTGTGCAGGACCATTGTAAAGGATTAGGGAGATAATTTGTGTAATGGTGCAATGTGTGATATTTTGCTCGTCTCCTCCTCCTCTTGGACGAAGTTCTGTATCTAAGCTGTACCACACAAGGCTTGCACCTCTGCTTCCCATCAAAGCGAGCCGTGGAGCTGCTTGCAACCTGAACCGCCCCCCCCCACCCCAAACAGGGCGTCAAATGATTCCGGCTTCATCTATTACAAACCTTACCACTTCCGACTGGGGGCGGATGACAAAAAAACTGCACTCCCATAAATGATGGTTTTAATTAGTCATTAGGCCACTGCTACACAGGAGATGGACTAAATTTATCTCAGACTCCTTTGACGCAAATTTCATAGTTCTATTTTCATATCTTGCCATTTTGCTCAAATATTTATATTTTTAGGGGTGGTGGGCGGGGTCGTCCAGTTCCAAGTGAATGCCATTGTATAAATATGTGTCATATGCTGAATAAAATTGTATTTTCCTATTCAAACACTTAAATATATTATTTTATAACACAGTACTTGTCTATTTGGTACAAACCTTTCAAGCAATGTCCATTTGGTGCGTGTTCAGCATCAACTTCGTTATATACACAATATTGATCAAAGATGTGATATACCAAACTCTACACACACACACAAAAGAGTATAAAAAAATACTGGTTTACACAATTATTTGGGATATAGCGCACTTGCGTGCATGTGTACGTGTGTGTGTGTGTGTGAGAGAGAGAGAGAGAGAGAGAGAGAGAGAGAGAGAGAGAGGGGGGGTCTGTGTGTGTGTGTTTGTGTGTGTGAGAGAGCGAGAGAGAATCCCAGGGCAGTAGTCAGATAAAGAATAAATGAAAGGCATAAGGATTATTTTTCACAAATCATTTTCGACTCCTCTTATACCTGTATATTATAGTTTTGTTGGACTGTGAGTTTGCCAAACCTCCCATCAAAAGAAACAACTACAAATATAATAATATAATACAGCGCTTTTGCGCACAGTCGCACAGTGCCACCTGGCGATGAAGATTAAAATAGCGCAGTTCCCGCCGGTTACCGTAAATTTGATCGAATGAAATTTCGTCGATGGAAAAATTGATCGATGGAAATTCGATCGAACGGAAATTTGGTCGAATCTTTTTTTCCGTTCACACGTTTTAAATTTTCGTCCAATTTCTCTTTGAACGCCCCCATACCATACAGTTAAACAAAACAAAAAACGGTCAAAAAGAAATTTGAAGCCAAATTTGTAAGTATGATCCTCATCTTTATCACGGTATACATATCACTATTTATAAAGCCGTTTGATTTAAATTACTTTAAATTACTTAACTTACGTGTTCAAAATCGTACACAAGCCGTATCATTGAACGCTTGAAAACGAAGGCGGACAACTTTCTGTTGAAGTCTACAGTCAGCCGCCCAAGCATCTGTGGTAACACAGTTGAGAAGATGGTGTTTTAATTTGTGTTTGTTTGTGTGTGTGTGTGTGTGTTGAGGGGGGTGGGTGGGGTTCGAGGGAGGTCGAAGTATGGTACACTAGCAAATGACGAAACTACAGACCAAAAAAAATAATTAATCGCAAGTGCGTTTGGTGCGTAATATTTTCTTTTGTTTTCCCGTAATTGCAGGCGAAATTATTCTGTGGTGTTCAAGTGGGTGGGTCATTGGAGTATTAAGGTTAATACAGTTCAGGGGTGGGGGTGGGAAAAAATGTATGGGTTGCGAGATTTGAGGGGAGGGGGAATAGCACTAATAGGGATTCTTATAAAGTGCGTCACTTGCGTGCATGTTTTTTCATATTTTCAGCATTGGTGCATAAATTCAAATGTTACACGACAGAAGGCTGAGTCGATGTATCGGGTCAACATAGGATTTAATGAAATGTAAAACTAACGTTGTTTTTAGCGTCGTAAAAATCCGTTTGATACTCTTTTGCAAAGCAGACTCGTTTTGGTGTCCTCTCCTCGGCCAATGCGATGGGCAGGGCGAACAGAATGATCAGAGCAACCTTCATTTTTTTAAAAAAAAGCTCCGTTCCAACCGTGTCTGACTCTCGCCAATCTTCCCTGTACGTGCAGGAAGAAATATTGAATTTGAACATGAATAAAGTTTAAACGGCAAATTCTTCTGTCCCCAGAGCAGTCGCGTCGGCCCTACAACCCCTTCTGCTACAGGGGGGGGGGGCAGCGGAGCAGGGGCGTGGGCCCTACGACCACTGGCGCTAACAACCACTGCTGTTACTAGTTGGGGGGGGTGAGAGTGCAGTGGCATGGACCCTACAACCACTGCTGCTACAGGGGGGGTTGCAGTGGCATAGGCCCTACAACCACTGCTGTTACTGGGGGCAGTGCAGTGGCATGGGCCCTACAACCACTGCTGCTTCTTCAGGGTGGGGGACAACAGAGCAGTGGCGTGAGTGGCGTGAGCCCTACCAACACTGCTGCTACAGGGGGGCCGGGGGCAGAGCAGTGGCGTGGGCCCTACAACCACTGCTGCTATAGGGTGGCCTCGGGTATTTAAATGGGTCCAAAGTTGCAGTTGTCACATTTCAATCTTAAGGCGTGGGAGGGGGGAACGAAACGGAAAATTGGCAAAGAGGGAGGCCTCAGAACTCATACGATGTATCTGGTCTTGCCTATATGTTTAGATTCTAGAACCTTGGTTCCAAAAACAGACCATGGATCGTTACCCCTTTCGAGAAATTTTCTGCTAAGTCGCCAGTTTGAACTAAACAATTAAATTAAAATGTTTAAACAACATTTCTATTTGAATCATTATCTCTTGAGATTTTAATACTTCCCTTAGCTTCCACGTATCTCCGGGACACTTGTTGATTTGTAACGCTCTCTTCGTTTGAAATAACTTAAAGCATTAAGAGATTTAATGGTGTGACATTAACGTTATCATTACTGAAAACCCACCCGTGAATTTTGTTCCGTGTTAACGAGTTACAATTTAAAATTGCGCACTGAATATGAATCACGTTAAAATTGCAATGATTTATATTCAGGCCTGGACAACTCAAAATTTAAGGCGGGCCGTAATACTTTATGAAAATCTTGGGCGGGCCGAGAGGTGATTAGGACGGGGGGTTGGGGGGAGAAGCTATTAAGAAAATGATAATAATAAAGAATATTTCGTTACTTCGCGGGCCGCCAGGTGGGTGCTGGCCTGATTATATTTTAATGAAAATTCCCTTACCTTTTTTTAAGTGTCCTATTTTTTCTTATTTAAAAGCTTTTTTTTTTAAAGTGTAATTAAAGGGCTTCGCCGGCCACTTTGCTTCTAGATACGGCGTCGCGCCTCAACAAAAAAGAAAAAGTTTGGTAACCCGTAATTTCTAGAAAGTGTAAGTAGCACGATTTAGGCCAATAAATCAAGGTGGATGAGATCGGGTGAGCCATGCCGATCCGGTCAGTGCTGTGTAACAAGCGAGTTGAAAATCATCAGTTGTCAAGTACAATGTCACCGTCCGTGCCATCTATTTATTTGGCCTTGACTTTTAGTTTAGTGCGCAACCCCCCCCTCCCCCCCCCAACCCCTCAGGGATGTCCATGATTTTGACTACTTATTGATTGAGAACCTCAGTGCTCACAGAGTCGCCCGGGTTGGACCGCCCTTTCCCCCTACCCACTTCCCACGCCCCTGGTTGCTAGATAACGTACAGTCAAACACAGCATGTAATGGTTCAGGGTGGGATTACGTTGTACAACAGCGAAGTCATTCAATTAGGATTCGATCCCTAGGACCGAGGTGACAGTAAAATAGCCCGAGAAGTGCAACGACAGAGCTGAGCCCTAACATGTAGGAGATTCAGGGTACAGTTCCTTCTCAAGACCAACATGATGAACTGAGCCCACCCACTCATGGAGGATATCCAGCTTTCAGAGCAGGGTGTGCTTGCCCTCCTCAAAACCATTAACCCCTACAAAGCAAGTGGTCCTGACAACATCAAATCACGAGTGCTCAAAGAATTGGTCAATGAAATCGCTCCTGCACTGATAATCCTCTTCCAATCGTCGCTGTGCATGGGAATTGTTCCAACAGACTGGAGAACAGCGCATGTCACTCCAATCTATACCAGAAAGGTGAGCATTCCGACCCTGCGAACTACCGTCCGATATCCCTCACCAGCGTGGTGAGCAAACTGTTGGTGAATATAATCGTGAGCGCAGTCATGAAGCAAATTATTATTGAAAGGCACAATACCCTCAATGACTGTCAGCATGGCTTCCGAGTCAAAACATTATTGAGACCCAGCTCCTTGAATTTGTAGAAGACTTGATGACCAATCTGGGCTGGTACTTTGCTCCAACATGAAACAAAACTCGTCTCCCCCCCCTTCCTCCCCCAAAAGACAGCGACGAGGACATGACAGACAGATCCGGCTCATAAAAGCAAGAACATAGTACAAGAACTGCTCATCCCTACCAAAGACAATCATAGACTGGAAAAAGCTTCCAAAAGGACCAGTTGAGGCGACAACACTTGACAAATGTGTTTCTATTGCCTCAGGTCATTCAACCTCAATTTCCTAATATCATCGCTGTGCAGCCCTTGCAACCAGTGAGATATCCTCTTCGGTACCAGGCAAGCAAACATTGCGAATCCCCTCTACATACACAGGAGCCAGGGCCGGCCCTGACAGGAGCCAGAATGATCGATACCTTAATCGTGGGCCATTAATATATAGAAGAAGAAGAAGCAGATGACGCAGACGAAGACGAAGAAGAACCACATTAAAATGGCTTACCAAGTTGTCTTTCTTGAGTGCGTACGGATGACGACAATCAGATGCAAGACCCAGGCCCTTATATGGCACCGGGGGTTGATTCGTGTAACTTGGCAGGGCCGTGGGGCTAAACGGGGAGGGGAAAAAATGTAGGGGTTGCGGGGTTGTGGAACAACCGAGAACCTACATATAAATATACACATATTATTATGATATATGTAGTGGCAACCATGGTTGGTATGTGGGTTGAGAGTTATATTGAAATGTGTATACCTGCCAAAGTTGGCCACCTCCCACTTCTCTGCTCTTTCTTTCGCACCACTGATCTCCTCGTAGTTTTCACATGCAGTAAACTGTGAGAATGTTGGACTGGGTCGGGAGGGCGTAAGGCACTTCCATTTTCAGTCGTACCATTTGGAGCAAATATAGAGACAGCCTGTCTTGTTGCTCTTAGTGTAACTACAGCCTAATGATTTCATACTTCTAACTCATATGTCTTCTTACCCATTTATATGGAGAGATGGGGATATTAGGGAGGGAGGAAGGGATGAGGAAAGACTTAGAGATGGAGAGGCATAGGTTGAGAGGGACAGAAAGAGAGAGAGGGGGGCTTTTTCAAAATCTTTTTTATTAAATTTAAATTTTAAAAAAAATTATGGACAGTTATTCTAAACCTCCAGATTTCAAAAACTTATTACGGACAAGTAAACATTTTTACGGAGAAGTAAACATTTTTTACGGATAAGTAAACATTTTTACGGAGAAGTAAACATTTTTACGGATAAGTAAACATTTTTACGGAGAAGTAAACATGTTTTTATGGATAAGTAAACATTTTTACAGAGAAGTAAACATTTTTTACGGATAAGTAAACATTTTTATGGAGAAGTAAACATTTTTACGGAGAAGTAAACATTTTTTACGGATAAGTAAACATTTTTACGGAGAAGTAAACATTTTTAACGGATAAGTAAACATTTTTACAGAGAAGTAAACATTTTTTTTTACAGAGAAGTAAACATTTTTTACGGATAATTAAACATTTTTACGGAGAAGTAAACAATTTTTATGGATAAGTAAACATTTTTACGGAGAAGTAAACTTTTTTACGGATAAGTAAACATTTTTACGGATAAGTAAACATTTTTATGGAGAAGAAAACATTTTTTACGGATAAGTAAACATTTTTACGGAGAAGTAAACATTTTTGACAGATAAGTATACACTATTTACTGACATGTAAACATTTTTACGGACAAGTAAACATTATTTACGTTTTTTACGGACATGTAAACATTTTTACGGATAAGTAAACATTTTTTACGGTCACATTTTCATTAACGTAGAAAGCCAACGAAAATATATATGATCAGCTCTCATTAAGACTGTATATATATATATATATATATATATATATGTGTGTGTGTGTGTGTGTGTGTGTTAAGTCTGATTTGAGTCTACGCCATTTATTGACCGTGAGACTTAAGACTATCCCGTGAGGCTACCTTAAAAGTTGTTTTACTGTATACTGTACGACATATTGACCAGCGTTAAATCTTACCTTGATGAAAAGTTATCCACACCACGGTATTGTTAAAAAAAGCATATGAATTCAGATTATTTTAATGTTAATTGGAGAATAAAGAGATATATGTTTTATTAAATCGTTTAAAAAAATATATGTATGGGACAGAATAATCCGCCCATCGCAAGTATATGTATATGACATAATCATCCGTCCTTAACAAGTATATATATGGGACATAATCACTCGCCCTTTTCAAGTATGTGTTTGGGACATAATCATCCGTCTTTCACAAGTAAATGTATGGGACATAATGACACGCCCTTCACAAGTATATGTATGGGGCATAATCATCCTCCCTTCACAAGTATATGTATGGAACATAATCACCCGCATTTCACAAGTATATATATGGGACATAATCACTGGCCTTTTTCAAGTATGTGTTTGGGACATAATCCCCCGCCCTTCACAAGTACATGTATGGGACATAATCATCCACCTTTCACAAGTATTTATGGTACATAATGACCCGCGCTTCACAAGTATATATATGGGACATAATCACCTGCCCTTCACAAGTATGTGTGTGGGACATAATCACTCGCCCTTTTCAAGTATTTGTATGGGACATAATCATCTACCTTTCACGAGTATATGTATGGGACATAATCACCAGCCCTTCACAAGTATATGTATGGGACATAATCATCCTCTCTTCACAAGTATAATATGTTTGGGACATAATCACCCGCCCTTGGCAAGTATAAGCATTGAACATAATCACCTGCCCTTCACAAGTTTATGTATTGGACAAAATCATCCGCCCGTCCACGGACTAAGAAAGCCACGAGATTACCACGCGCAGGCCTGCAGTCCACAGGGGTCATAACTCCGTCACTTGGGACACATTCGCGCTGATTTAGTCATTGTTGTATTCTAAGGGGGTGTCGCTGGTCGGGGAGTTCTTTAACAAGCCTGTCTTACTCTTATATTATTGATGTGATCTTATTGTCTTACTCTTATATTATTGATGTGATCTTAATGTAATGAGATTTGAAATGGGTTCTTGGTGACCCGGTCACAAGTGGCGCTGATAGCACTATCTATCTATCCTTCCATCCATCCAGATATCGATCCACCCATACATCCATACATCTAGCCATCCGTCTATACTTCCATATATCAATCAATCCATCTAGCCATAACTCCAACATTCCATCCATGCATCTTTCCATGCATCTATCCATCCAAAATCCACCCATTAATCTATATATCTGGAATGTATCCATCCATCTATCTTCCATTATCTCCCCATCTATCCATCCATACATTATCTATCCATCTAATCCATCCATCTATTATCTCCCCATCTATCCATCCATACATTATCTATCCATCTAATCCATCCATCCAACAATAAATCAATCGATCCGTCCATCCTTCCATCTCTCTATTTCTCTAGATCCTTTCTAATGCTTGTCGATCTGTCAGTCCTCCTGTTTGCGTGCCTGCCTGCCTGTCCATCTATCAGTGTTCCCGTCCATCTATCCCATTTATGTCTGTCCGCTCGCTGGCCAGCCTATCTATTTATGCATCCATCTCATCATCTATTTACATCTATGCATCTTTCAATGCGTCTGAAGGCTTGCCTGTGTCCCTCATTGTATTATCGTCTATCTCGTTATCCGCCGTTCTCTCGCGGGGGGACAAGTAGGCGGAATAGCACATAGCCACAACGATCACTTCATGGTCAAAACAGGAATACTCAACTGTCAAGAAAGACTGGATCAAACCGCCAAGGCAAGACAGAGGTAGAGAAAGTATAGGTTATCAAAGGGATTTGAAGACAATATGGCTCCCTTTCAGGGACTCTATATAATTTATGCCAGTGTATGCGCGCGCACACCATTACCTCTGACAAATAAAGAGAGCTATACTCATGCCTAAAGGGTCAAAGCAGCAAGAGGTGATAGAATCTGCGCCATGATTCTCAAGGCAGTGGGTCTGATAAGAACGTGGATCTTCTAGGACAGTTGAAGCACGGGTGAGATCCCGGCTCGTGAAAGCACAAAACATCACCAAGCTGCCGAAATAACGCTGCGAAGACTCTTTCTGATGCCATTGAGACTTGACCAGATGTCACTCTCCCCCAATGTCTTCTGTTACAAACAACAAAATATAACAGTAGCATGAACGCAAAGAGAAAGGGAAAGAGAGGGGGGAGAGCGCGCGGGAAGAGACAGGGGAAGAGAGACTGGGACAGAGAGAGTGGGGAGAGACAGGTGGAAGAGACTGGAAAGAGAGAGAGAGAGAGAGCGCGGGGGAGAGACAGTGGAGGAGAGAGAGAGAGAGTGGGGGAAGAAAGAGGGGTAGAGAAAGAACGAGGGGGGCATAAAGAGAGGGGGCGGGAGGGAGAGTGGAGGGAACTATGGAGAGAGAAATTGAATTAATCTTTCAAACGGCTACAATTTTCTTTTATTTAGGAAGTTAACCTATTTTCAAATTGGCTGTTATTGAAAATAATAATAGTTGTTTATTTAGTAATACCAATTAATGGATAGTTGATGAACGGTCTAAATATATAAATGGCCCAGCTGGAGGAATGAATGGATAGATAGTAGATGGATACCTAAGATCAACTCAATTAGGATGAATTCTTTATCTTAAATTTAAGTTAGGACTGAGAGATATTAAAATTATTTTGTTCCTCGGGTCTGTACGAATTTGCCAGGGTGCTCCCCCCAGCGGTTGACATATTAAAATGATCACTATTTATGTCATTATTGTCACTAAAGGATTCCATTGGTGGCTGATTTCTACGCTAGAGAAATACTTTAGATGTCTTCAAAGGCGTAGCGATGGGGGGGGGGGGCAGGGGGGAGACAGATGTCCCCGGGCGCAAGCTAGTTAGGGGCGCCAAAATGTGATTTGATATATTATTGGTAAAAATAATGGGTTTGAGAGTTGAAAAAAGAAAAGGGGCGCTGAAAAATGGATCTTGTCCCCGGGCGCGAATCTTGTCCCCGGGCGCCAAACACCCTCACTACGCCACTGGATGTCTTGTGTTTAAATTGTTATAATTGTAAAATTTATTGGTTAAAATGTGTAGGCCCTATTTATTTAGGCGATCAAAATTAATTTGTACAATGTAATTAAAAAATATTTTAAAATTTCCATTTATTTGGATCAATAAAATAATCTTTTCGAATCTTATTTTTGATTTGTCTTATTTTTATATGCCTATATGTCAAATGAACTTGATCTTTTGATAAATTAATCAATATTTAAACATTTATTTTGTAGTATTAAACTTAAACTGTACGTGTAGCCTACTAGTTACAACTCACGACTAACCAAGACAAAAGTGAGAAGAAAAAAAGAAAAGAAAGAAACGGCGCAGCACTAGTAAAGACATTACTTTATATGAAATCGATATATATTGAAATAAAGATATATGAATAAATTCAACATATTTGATCCGCATACAAATGTATATTCTATTTTATAAAACGATCAGACAGAGATCCATAATAGATTTGTCTTTGGAAGTGTCTGAAGAATTTTATCTCGGCCATACGTGTTACCTCGGCATTTAGCTTGACTATGATTGCAAGTAAAATATTGACAACATAGATTGCAACAACACAAGTCACAACCACAGTACCACAGCATTTT